TGGAAGAGCGGGCGACCGACTTGCGACGCGATGCTCTGGCTGCCGTGGCCTGGGAGAGACGGCTGAGGTTGGTGAGTACCGAGCCGGAGCTCTTGATGGATTCGTCGGATGCGTCTGCCGACTGATCGGCAAGCGTCGCCGAGGGGGCACGAACCGATCGAGAAGCACGCGAGCTCCTCGAGGACGAGGCATGGCTGGGTGCTGGCGAGGCACGGATCTGGGGCGTCTTGGAGCGCGACTGGGATCGCGCGCGTGGTGCTGCGGAGGATTGACGTGGACGAGGAGCCACGGGCTCAAGATAGGTGAACTTGATGGGGCTCGGCGGCATGGGCTGGTCCCAACCGTTTTCCTTGATCTCGCGCACAAAGGTTGCGTCCGGTCCACCGCGTCTGAAGCTGATGAGCTGGATCTCGTCCTCCTGCTCGGGCTCTTCGTCGTCCGAGTCTTCGGCGAACTCTCTGAGTGGCTGCATGCGGCTAGGCGTGCGTGTGCTGCGAGCGTTGTTGAGGTCGTCATCTTCGCTGCCGTCCTGGTCGTTGGAAGTGAGGCGACGGTGGGAAGTGCCGCGCTGGCTGCGGAGAGGGGTGGAAGGCGCACGCGATGACCTGGCTGCCGGCGTGCGGGCTGGAGAGGGACGGACGTTGCGGGAGCGGGTGGGCGACGGCGAGACGGGCTCACGAGGGAGGGAAGCCAGTGCGCGATTGGATGGCCCAGGCGTTGCAATGAGTGCTTCGCCCGAGTTGGGTGGCGTCGGAAGACCACCGGGTGCGTTCAGATTGGCCTGTGATGAGGGCTGAGTGGAAGCGACAGAGGAAGAGCGCGGCTTGGTGGATCCAAGTTGCTGTGTCTGCTCGATCGAAAGTGGCTTGTTGAGGGGTGCGATGGCGGAGCGCTTGAAGGGGCTCGGGAGGAAGGGGATATCCACGAGTCTCGACGAGGCGGGCAGACCGATGGTGGGATCGGGCAGGTTGTAAAGGACGCTGTTGGAGATGAGTGGTGACGATGGGGGCTCTGATGGCTGCATCGAGACGGAGACATCCAAGGAGTAAGGGAAGGGTGAGGCATTCTCGTCGTTGATGGAGGGCCGGCTGACGCTGCGGCGCGTCCTCCTCGTTGGAGACAGCATCTGGATGATTCAAGGAATGCGCTGGAAGGTCGGTGGTGTAAGGTGTGATGGTGGAAGAGGACGACGGTGGAAGGGCGGTCTCGCCGTGTTGTTGCCAGGATTGATGCGCGCGGGATGAAGTGCGGTCGTGCGATGAGCAGACTGGATGTGCCGGATTAAGGTTCTGCGCAGAGAAGCAGGTTTATGAACGCTTTCTTTTTGAGGCGAGATTTGCAGGGAGCGTCCGAATCCAGAGAGCGGGCGAGAAGGGTGCGGACGTGGTGGTGGTGGTGCTGTAGGAGATTCGTGTGTGCGGGGATAGTGAAGACGAGTGAAGGAAGAGCAGATGGCTGCGAGTGGAGAAGGCTGTCGTTGGCGTGATCCGAGCACAGCTCACTTGCTGTTGGGCCATCATCACAGACCGCGCACCCCACCACAGCACAGCACAGCACACTGTCACAAATGCAACACCGACTGCATATCGCCTGCAGCAGCCGCCTCGTTTCTTTTGGTGCGCTCCACATCCGCCAAATTTGGGACGCGAGACCCTGATGACAAGCGCGGGATTGTCACGTGCCGGCTTACCCGGCGAAAACTGTTAGACCTCGTCCTTCAGTGTACATCAAATTTCTGTCGGGTGTGAGATCGAATATTTACTCTATTTTTTTCGCGATAAATACAGCTGTCACGTGCACGCACATGACCTCGGCCGAGGTCTTCATCGAGGCCAACTTGCGCGCGAAGACCAGGCTTCGAGTAGAGCCTGCGCCCGGCCCGCCGAGATCGACCGCTCCGAGCCTTGACTGGGCTGCCGCCTGGAGCGCCCGTCGAGAGGCCTCTTGCTGTGCTTGGGTGGGGGGCGCCCAGAGGCTTTGGAATTTCGAGCTTCTTGGCTGCCACCGAGTGCTGCAGCACGGCCTCAATCGAGAGAGAGGCAGCCGCAGCCAAGCCAGTGCGCCAGCCTCGGCCGCGTGCCAGCCAGCTTGGGTCAAGCCAGCCAGCTGCTCGCCCTCACCACCTTCCTCTTCACCATCAAGACTATCCAAAATGACGAAGAAGAGACGATCCGGCGGGTAAGTGTTCGGCACCACCTCAATCCATCGCAGTCGTATCGCATCGCATCATCCCGTCCTCGTCAGCAGTGCACGCCGCCCCAACCCGACTGCAGTCACCGTCGCCATTGCCATCAGAAAGCATCAACATAGCCGACATGGCAACCTTCCGATCAGGGTACTTCCTGTCTGTCCTCATTTGCAACCCACCGCATCCGGCACAGCAATCTATCGACAACAGTCCGCGACTCGCCGTACCTATACTTCCACCCACCACAGCGGCATGATGGTCTCTTGGATTTCTTAGAGCGTACGGCCAAACACGATAGCAGGTCCAGCGGCATGCAATCGGCACTCCAAGGCGTTCCTGCTGGCTATTTGCGAGCCCCATGGATGCCCGTGCGACAGAAACCTGGGCCCGCATCGCTTTGATCGCCTGCACATTTCGACTTGGAGTAATCACACCAACCTGCATTCTCTCGTCCATGTTGCTGCGACCATCTGTCAGTCGTCTGCGAGCACACGGCTAGCGATTCGAGATGGCTCTCGAGCTCCCTTCCATCCAGCCAAGAATGCCCCGCCGGATGGTCGACGGCACACGACAGACCTGTGACGACCAACAGCAGACCTTCTCATTGACCCGGAATAGAACGAGCTGGACCGAACTCTGCGCTCCGACGACGATGCGCATGCACCACACCGACACATGCACCGTGCGATAGCGACTGTGATGGGTTGGGCTTCTAGCAACCATTGGACTCGGTGACAGACCTGCTCACACGCGCCATTCCCCTTTATTTTGATCTCTACAGCCGCAACAAGTCCGGCCGAGGCCACGTTACGTTTGTGCGATGCTCGAACTGTGCTCGCGCCGTCCCCAAGGACAAGGCGATCAAGCGCTTCACTGTTCGCAACATTGTCGAGGCTGCTGCCATCCGTGATCTGTCGGAGGCGTCGGTGTACCAGGAGTACGCTCTGCCCAAGCTGTACATCAAGGTGGTCTACTGCGTCTCGTGCGCGATCCACGCCCACATTGTGCGTGTGCGCTCGCGCGAGGGTCGCCGCAACCGTCTGCCCCCTCCCCGTGTCCGCTACAACAAGGACGGAAAGAAGATCAACCCCGCCGTCGCCCAGATCCAGGCCCAGCGCGCTTAAATCTTCCTTTCACCCATCCCCAGCTTCCTGCAGGCGTCCAATGCCGATCGGAGGCTGTAAAATCTCGATTGCGCAGGAGGATTTTCCTTCGATGCGAGAGAGTCGCACTTGCTCACCGCACACACACACACACCCAAAATATCATCCTTCTCCTAAAAGCCAATTCGCTCGAGGCAACGTCTTCGGTCATTTGGTAGTGAGATTGCTGTTGAGATAATGCGCCCATGAGTTGCCGGTGGCAGATCGTTTGTTGGCCCAACTTGGGTCCACGCTCGATGGGCGAGCCATTGACCATCTTGTCGGCACCACATGCCATGCGACGTCGATCCAAACAACTCGCGTGACCACCAAATTATCCACGCCTCACTTGCGGATTGCACACTGTTCTGATCAAGGATGATGACTGAGATTGCTGGGAAGGGGGAGCATTAGACCTGGTCAAAGCCGAGTCGCAATCGAAGCAGATCCTTGAGGATGAGCTGGACACGCTTATGTTCGGACTGGAGTCTGAGCTGTTCGATGTGTTGCAGGTCGTCGTCACTCTCATCCTCCTCGTTTTCGTGCTTGCGTTTCTTGATCTGATCCAAGCCGTCAAAGAGGCCAGACAACGTACGTACGGCTTCGAGCATCTTTGGTCTGGACAACCAGACGAATCGATCGAGCAGCCTTGCATCGAGTATACCTTTGGCGAGCGTGCGGGGCACGAAATCGTTTCGCACCGCTCGGAACGCACGCGGATTGAGTGCGGCCGTATGCTGGACTGAACGAACCAGCTGGCCTTGTAGCAGATGCAATCGCTTGGCTACTTTGTCGTCGAGTGCTGAGAGCGAGTCGAGGGCCCCGTTGGCTTTGGCAAGCAAAAGCTTGCTGCGTCCCTCTTCGCGACCACGCAATTCGGAATCGGAAAGCCAGCGTCCACGACATACGGTCGATCCAACCGAGGCAGCGGGGGTTTGAAACTCGCTCCGCAACAGCAACCTATGTCCACCCAGTGTCGTAGCTACGTGTGGCGCATATTCGTATAGCCGGATCACGCCTGCAGTTGAACCGAACCCTGAAATGCCACCGAGAGGTACGTCGCTGGTAGAGACGAGCGAGAGTCGATCGTTGTACACGAGAAACTGCGCCATGGACGCATTGTGGTCGTTGATCTCTCGCCCGAGATCGACGAACCGATACGGTTCTTCCTGGAATGCCAGTAGGCAGAGCGACTTTTTGGCATCGCTGACGAGCACAAAGTTCTTGAGCACGCGCAGGCTCGTCATGTAGAACGGCCCATCCAAAAAAGCGACTGAGATGAGCCATTCTTCTTTCTCGAGCGCGCGCACGTATAGTTTCTGCCCACACGTGCTGAGCAGGAAGCCGTTGAGCTCGGCAATCGCCGTCACGGGCGCACGCGCGTCGTCACGACACACCAGCTTCAGCCGCAAATCGCGACCCAGCTGATACTTGCCCGCGACGACCTCGATCACCTCGAACAGGTACACGCTACCCTTGGACGTGCGGTCCTCGCCGTGAAAGGTGGTGGTACCAGCCGCGATGAATTGCCGCCGCCCGGTGGGGGAGCTCGATGCATCGAGGCTGACCAGCTCGAGCGCAGTCACGGTTTCGTTGGGCTCGAACTCGAAGCCGTCCGCAGCAGTCGTGCGGTCTTCGTCGATGAACAGCTCGAGCGAACCGCGTACGCCTTGGCTTGGGTGGGCGTCTTCGTTGGCAACGTCGGTCTCGTTGCCCGTGGGCACCGGCTCGCCATCATCGTCGAAGAGGACAAAGCGACACGGTTGGACGGAGGCGGCAATCACTGTGTGGGTAGGGTCGTGTGCGACGACTCGCGTGTACTCGCGGCCCGTGCGGATCACGCTCGACATCCACGCGGTCGTCGAGTACAGGCCCTCGGGCGAGCATGCCAGCCACAGAGCGCCGGAACGGTCGCAGTACGCGAACTCAGCAGCCGACGTGCCGGTGGATGGCGCGCGCGGGATGGAAGCAGCCCAGGCGAGGCTGCCGTCGTCCCAGTCGAGCAGCCTGTATCCGCCCTGGTGGGTCCAGCACAGCACACTCGCCTGCGCCTCACGCCCGCCACCGAGCACGATGAGCGCATTCGGCTCGTGCGTCTCCCCGCTCCCTTGCCCCTGTCTGTTGCTCGCAATCGCAATCGGCTCGAGCTTCACCGGTCCCCCGCGGACGCCGTCACCGTTCGCTTCAAAGGAGCGCGCACCCGCAGGCACCGCCAGCACCTGCACATGCACCTTGTTGAACGTCAACCCGAGCGCGGCTGCGCCATGGCTGGCGTCGAGCTGGCTCTGCGCTTTGGCTACCTCGTCAGGGGTCGCGCACGCATTGCTGCGGTACACGCTGAGAAAGTGGTCCGCAGTGAGCGAGACGATGCTAAGCATGTCGCCCACGTGGCAGGCGCGCGCACTCGACACGCTCGCCACCTGCTCCGCCGCAATCTCGGCGTGCCCGTGCTCTTCGTACCTCAGCCGCTGTGGCTGTGCGGCAAGACTGGCGTTCTTCCATACGAGCTCCAGCTCCGGCAGCGTCAGAATGCGCATCACACCCTCGCTGTCCAGCGCGAAAAGGTACGCTGGGGCTTGGGCGCTCTCGTCCCGAGGCTGGGTGGGGGCGGCAGCGGGCTCGGGCACGTCGTCGTCGTAGTCGACCTCCTCGTCGTCCTGCAACGCCAGCGCGCGCGTCGTCGGTGCCGCCACTTTGGCCTCTCCCGACGCGGCCTTGGTGCCGCGCGCGAGAGCGAGCTGGCCGTACGTATCGCGGAACACGTTGGCCGCCACAATCGACGAACGCTGCTGCACCGTAGACAGGTCGAGGCGCTCGAAGCGTTGGTGCTGCGCGTCGTGGCGGTAGATGAGCGTGTCGCCGTCGGCGGTGTGCAGCACGGCGTACTGCTGCGCATCCAGACTGGCCGAGAGGACGTGCGCGCCCGAAACCGCCGTTTCGTGCAGCACCTCCCACGAGCTCGACGAGAGCACCTGCAGACTGGTGGGCGTGATGCGCGCGATCGCATCGCCACCCACAAGCTCACCGGCGTTCATCGTGGCACCCTGCAGATCCACCACGCCCGTCGCTTGTGCTGCGTCAGCCATGTGGCCGACACTGGCGGCGCTGGCGAAGCCGATCGATCGATCGCTCTCCGAATCAGACGCGATCATAAGCACACCTCCGCTAGCGTCCGTGCCGACAGTGAAGATCCTCGACCACTTGGCAGGCGACTCTGGCTCGTCGTGTGTCTTGTCGCCGAGGCGGAGCCTGGTGCGCTGGTGTGGCACGAAGCGCGGGTCGAGATACACGAGGCCCGCTTGGTTGCCCGCGCCGCACGTGCCGACCACCGTGTGGCGCTTCGACGAGCCGGGCTCGGGCTCGGCGAGCCTGCGACGTGCGATGCTGAGCAGCGTGCCGTGCGAGCGTACCTCGTCTGCCATGCGCAGCGCCATCACGGTCTTCTCCCTGCTCGCGCCATTGGCCCTCGCAGAGTCGGCGGCGGAAGATCCGTACAGGTCGTCGTCGAGATCGAGGTCCATGTCGTTCGCACCCGCGCCCGCCTTGGCGTCCTGCTCGGCTTGCTCCACGGCCACTTTGACGGGCACGAGATCGTACAGCGCCGCATCACCCGCCATGGACGCGGCGAACAGCATGTCGGGCTTGGCTGCGCCTGCTTGATCGGCGGCATACGACGGGATGGCCAGACACGAAGGCGGCGGTGCCGTCGCGGCATGCATCTCATCCTCGCCGGCGCTGAGTTGGTCGATGCGCTCGAGGCGGAAGCCCTCTACACTGCGGCCGTCCATGTGGCATCGGAGACGGTAGAGGTCGCCGTTGCTGAGGCTGAGCACTGCGTCTGTGTCGGTGGTGAAGACGAGCTGGGAGGCCTGCAGGTCGGCTACGCCGGGCACGTCGAGTACGGATTCGGGCTCGATGACCGAGGTAGTTTTGAACCAGCGGTTGAGTGCGGTGACGACGACTCTACCGCTCTGGTCGACATGCAGGATTGCGGACATGCATACGACCAGCACGCCTCCGAGGGCTTGTGGGCAGGGGAGCATGTAGAGGCAGTCGTAGGGCAGCTGCGAGCTGGTGGTGACGACGGGATGCGCCGAGCGCACGTTGCCGTCGTCGAGCAGCGCCGCAGCGGATCCGAGCGTGGCGCCATCGAGCGACGCCGAGAGGTCGAGCGTAAAGAGGTAGACCGCGAACGAGTCCTTGCGGTGCGTCAGCAGCCCCGTCCAGGTGGGCGAGTGGTCGAAGAGCACCGCCACCGTGGGCTTCTGGAAGCCGGGCAGGAAGCAAAAGTCCTTGAGGTTGCGGATCTTTGGCTCGACCTCGCGCATGGTGAGTACGAACGAGGGCGAGTAGGGCAAGCTCTCCATGTGTGCGGCCGCCGCCATGGCCGCGGCGTCCGAGGCGTCCAGCCCATCGTTGGCGAGGTCGAAGCCGAGGCGGTCGTCGAGGTCGAATTCGGCGTTGTCGCGGTAGAAGGGCAGGATGGCGAGGGCGTCGTGTGGGAGGAGCAGCGCTGCACACCTGGAGAGCGGGTCGACGTTGAGGTTGGGGCGGAAGAGCGGCGGGGTACCGTTGAGCAGCTGGGTGGCACGCTCGTACGTGTGGATCGAGACGGTCTCGAGGTCGTCGGTGGTATCGTTCCACTCGAGCAGAGCGAGCTTTGCATCGGCGAACGAGACGAGCAGACGGTGTCGTGCGTCCTTGTCGCTCGCGAGCGTGTCTACGCGCCGCAAGCCCGTGACCGTGCCAAAGAGGCTATGTTGGCGCGCGACTACGAGCGTATGCGTCGGCTTGGCGTCGACTGTGGTCCCATTGGCGGTACCGTTGCTGGTGCTGGCAGTGGGATGGGAAGAGCTGCGGTCGTAGACATCGTAGATGGTGAGGAGGTCGTCGCGGGCGGTGACGAGCTGGGTGCGAAGACGGCCGCGGTGGAGGAAGGAGGATTGGTTCTTGGAAGGGGCGGCCGAGTGGTAGTGGAGGTTGAGGAAGACAGCATGGGTGCAGCCGCCCGGTGCGAGCTCCTGCTGATGGAGTGCGCTTGCCATCGTGACCACCTGCGCCGAGCTGGGATTATGTGTGCGCGGTGATGGAGGCCGGAAGGCGCCAAGGCCAGAGTTGGTGTTGCCCTGAGCCCGGCGCGGCCAACAGAGCTGTCTTCGGCTGTCGCTCGCCCCAACACCTCCGACTCCCGAAGATCTGGCGTCGTTGCTCTTCTTTGACGCGAAAAATTGGAGGCCAAAAAAAGCAGACTGAAAAGCGCAATCCAAAATGAGTGTTTCCGCTTCACGCGTCTTGCAGTCCGCAATCCGGCAAAGTTGGCCAGGGTCTGCAGCAACGCAACGACGCCTCGCCTGCTCTCGTCGCCATCCGCCATCACTCTCTTCGCATAGACACTATCCCATACCCCGGAAGCGCACATCTGGAAGACCGAAACGACACGTCGGCTCGATTTGGACTACTAGCATGTTGGAGGAAGAAGAAGCCGTCGACTACGGCGAGGACGAGCTTTTAGCGCCGACGCATGCACAGGACGAGGTGCAACTCACGCTCGATGGCGACGATACCGCCGCGGATACGGATGCTCACGCAACGCCTGACGATGCAAAGTCACCCACACCAGCTGCTGTGGAGGTAGTAGCCGAGGCGAGCAAAGACGAGCGGCAAGCCGACGCGAAAGAGCGCCCAGCGTCCGAGCGGCCGGCTGCGTCGAGTGGCAAGAGCGAGGGCCGTTCGAACGGCGCAGGCAACAAGACGGATGGATCGCGACGTGAATCGCACAAGGAAGCGTTGCCGGCTGGATGGCGCGAGATTGCGTCGCGGTCGGGGGATGGCGAGGTGTACTACTACAACGAACGCACGGGCGAGAGCAGCTGGCAAAAACCGGGCGCGGCTCGCACTCCGCCTTCTGGATCCACGCCAAAGTCAAAGAAGAAGAACAAGAAGAGGAACAAGCGTACACGTGAAGCCGCACAAGCTGCACAGGCCGCACAAGGAGCGAATGGCAAGCCGGACGCAGAGGTTGCGGCAGGCGATGCTAAGGACACGGCGGCACAGGGGTTGAGCATCAAAGGTGCGGCGCAGCGCAAAGCGGAACCTTGCCAACCCAAGCCCGACGCGGGCAAGAATGGCAAGCGCAAACGTGAAGAGCGGATCGAGGTGGGATCCAAGCCGAAAGCCAGCGAGTCCAAGACCAACGGTGGCAGCGGAACCAAGGCGTCGGTGGAGGCGAAGCGGCCTCGTGCGGATGAACGCCGCGATGTGCGTGCCGAGGAGCGTCGAGAAGCGCGTTCGAATGATGTGCGACGCACCGGCGATTCTTGGCGACCCAGCACGGACAACTCTGCGCGCTCTCGACCCGACCAACGCTCGCGCGATGGATCCAGACGATCCGATGCGCGCGACAACCGTCGAGACTCTCGAGACCCACGCGAACGAGACCACGCCCGTCACGACCGAGACCACGCGCCGCAACAACGCAACGCTAGCTCCATCAACTCGACACACGCACACCACAAACGTCAGTGGGGAACCGTTTCGTCCAAATAGCTAGATCAGCCATCCTGAATACACCGTATTGGCACTACTCTCTCGTGGTGGTTGACGGGGCCACTGGAGGATGAAGCGGTCCACCAAGGGTCGGACCAGCTTGGCGGTGAGCGAGAGACTTGTGACGCGTGCGAACGACTCGATGTACATGAGCTTGGGCGAAGGCAATCCCAGGATCTAGTGCCGAAAGATGTCAGTGGGATGGACTTGCTCACTGTACGGTGGGAGGTGCTTACTCGGAGGAGGTAGACAGCTGCTACAATGGGAACGCATGTGCCTGGACCGTTCATCAGTATCACATCTGCGAGCACTCTTGTCCGCGATGGTTGGACGAGTGGGAGGAGTGCGATGGTGTAGATGCAGAAGGCGATGCTGTAGGCTGTGGTGAGGGGGGCGGTGAGGAAGCTCTGATGCACATTGCGTGCGCGTGGAATCTGAATCGCCCGCACCCCCTCCGCATCTCCAGTGAGTTTGCATTCGAGCTGCCTGGCCTTGTTCAAGCTGAACTTGTCGCCAGACGAGACGAGGTAGATGCGTCGTGGGTATCGACATGCAGGAAGCGCGGATACAAGCTGCAGCAGCTCGGTTGTATGTCCGCCCGAACCCAGAAACACCCCCACCGTACACCCATCCTTCTTTGCACTCGATCTTGGTTTGGCGGAGTGGGGGTTGCGGCTGGGAAGGATGTACCAGATCCGAAGCAGCACCAGGAGCGACAGTGCGAGCAGAACCACCAGCGTGCGCAGAGAGGGCAGAGGCGGTACGAGGTACAGCAGCACACTGGGTGGCAGCACGTGATTGATCGGTTGGCGCAGATGCTGCTTGGCCGCCTCGAAGCGGGCAGCCACCGAGTCGATCGTGCCCATCGTCAGTGCTCAAGATGCAGAATAGAGCGCAAGCAAGGATCGAGGTGCGAGGTGTCCGTGCGGTCCTTCAGGGTCCTGCTGCTCGGGAGCTTGGCCGAACTCCGAACGGCGAAATTACACACTGTTGTTGAGGGGAGCCTAACAAACTCAGGAATTGGACGCCGATCAACACGCGCAGATCTCGAGATTGAAGCGTTGCTCTTCGATGCCTCGGATGGGTCGTCGGCATCGGATGCTCGCTGTATCGAGGTGAGACCCTACCCTCCGTAGGTTACAGTATCTTTGCTGCATATCTTGACCTGCAACATTCCGGCGGTGGATGCAAGCAGAGCTCATCCGACCCTAGCTCGAGGCGGTGATCCCGGCCCAAGACCCTGAAGCGCGAGACGAAGGTGCGCGCCGTCGAGAGCATGGCGCAAATCACCGATGCGGGGTCCTCGACTCCATGGACTGGGTTGGCACTGCGGCGGGCACGGCGGGCATGAAGAGATGCAGTTCAAGGGATCTGCAGCCAGGCGCGTGTTTGCTAAGCATGCGGGGCGCCCGAGGCATGCTTGGGGGGCTGCGACTCAGGCACACACCCGTGGCTGCGGAGCGCTTGCATCTGAGTCGGATTCGAGCGAGAGGGCCATGCACGCTGAGCTGATGTTGGACGCCCGCCCCGCCGCTTTGCAAGAGACGAGTCTAAAAATCCGAGCGCGCGGCGCGGCTTCATGCGCGTCCTGCAGCCTGACCTAAGAAGCAGGGCGGCAGTCGAGACAGAATTGGGTGCGCGCAAGACGCAGATGCTTCGATGCCCGCCGCTCCGGCCCTGCGCATCGGCCGCGACCCGAATTGCTCGCCTTTTTCCACCGCCCCTTCAACCTTTCGCCTTTCGCCAGTTGCCCATCTCCATTTCTGCCTTTCCTCACGGCTTTCGTGCTGAGTGTGATTGAGTGAGCATGTGGCTTACAGTGTGATCTCTTTCTGTGGGAGAATAGGGACGGCGAAGCGGATGAGCCGGAAAAAGGGCAATTGAGCGGCGGAATTGGGGCCGGGTTGGCTTATGCTAAGCAGCAACGGGTGATGCGGATAGGAGAGAGCAGCTTGGGCTGGGCGTGACACCACCGCGCAGCGCGCTCACCATTGTCTCGTCGGCAGTGCCGCGCCTGGACAAGCTGACCAAAGCCGAGACCGAAGCGCACCGCTGCTTCACCACTGCCTCACCACTGCTGCACCACTGCCTCACCACTGCTGCACCACTGCTTTGCTCATTTTTTTTTTT